GGGTTGTCTCTTCACACTGCTGGTGGTTTCTCTTGCTGTGCAGAAGCTTTTTAATAAGAAGAAATCCCACTTGTTGATTCTTTGTGCTAGTTCACATGTGACTGAGGTTTTATTCATGAAATCTTTTCCTACGCCAGTGTCTTCAAGAGTTCTACCTAATCTCTCTTTCAGCTGGTTTAGTGTTTCTGTTTTAATATTTAGATCTTTATGTGCACCCATGTTCTTAGAAGCACAGTTTGTAATAGCTAAAACTTGGAAACAGCCCAGTTGCCCATCAATTGGAGACTGGATAAAGAAAATGTGGGGTGTTTTTTTAAAGTAAAATGGAGTACCACTCAGCCATAAAGGATGAGAAATTAGAGACATTTATAGCTAAATTCATGTATATTGAGGCCATACTCTTAAATGTAGTAAATAGGGCAGACATATGTAAATACCGAATAGTTTCTCTGGTGTGAGAAACTGGAAGTGTAAATAAGTATCAAAAGGTATGATAGATAATGTGAAATAGGAAGAAAAGGGGAAAAGGGGAAGGGGAAGTGGGAAGGGTTGGGGAAGGAAAGAAGAGAATGGAGTTAATATGAGAAAATGAAACAATGGAAACAAAGTCTTAGTAAATAGGGAGGGGCGGAGGGATTGCAGCGAGGGCAGGGGAATGGGAAAAAAATAAGAACCAAGAGAAATTATGTAAATGTGCAAATTTCCAACAATGAATGTCATTATATTGTATACCTAAAATGTACCAATAAAATTAATTTTAAAAAAGAAGCAGAGAGGAACCTTTCAAAGAGATAAAGAACTAAGAGCATATTATAAGCCCAAGGGAGGAAGGAATCTCAAGAAAAAGGGTGATGAAAACAAAACCAGATATTGCCAGAATATCAAGAACAGGAGTGGAGAAAAAGCTGTTAAGTTTGGTGAGCTCATTAGTTGAAGTTCCACAGAATATGCTGGGGTTGGGAGCCTGGTTACATTGGGTTGAGAGAGTGCGTCGTAAGGAATTATTCCAATGGGCACAGATGGTACTTTAAAAAAAGTATACCAGTGGAAGAAAAGACACAGCATGGCTAGTGACAAAGCAGGATTAAGTGGCATGTTTTCAAGATAAGGGAGCCATGTACATGACAGAAGGTGGGGGAGAAAAAGCCAGTGGAGAGTATACTATTCAAGGTCACAGAAAACTAGAAAAGAGTTTGGGAGATTGTAGAAGTCACTTTAGGAGGTAAGGTCTGGAGTTCTAGTGAAGGCTTAGACACAGAACCTGGGAATTGATGTGTCTTTCTCTTAAGACTTAGACACCAGCTGAATAGATGGTGACCCAAATCCTGAGGAAAAAGATAAGGAGACTTCTGCAACAAAGTAGAGTCTGAAATCAACTGCAAGCACGCAATAGATTTGAGACCAGGGCATCACTGAAGAAGTGTAGAAGAGAATATGTTAGGCTATCAGTAGGGATTGATGGGTGTTTCTGTCAAGGCAAAAGGAGCCAGGAAATGCTAATAGAAAATACACTTAAGCAGAGAAAGGCAAACACTGTGATAAAATTCACCATACCAGTATTCTACCTGAATTATGTTGTATTCAAGTTTTTACCATAAATAGTTAGATGAAGTATACTGAGTATATTTCTTTGCAAAACATTCTTTGATACAATGATTTCTTCCAAATTAATTTTATTTAAAAAGTTTGATACATTGTAAAGTGAGCTGCTATTTAAATACATTTGTTTGCATTTATTTGTATAAACTCATTTGAAAATAAAAACTTCTCTTTACTTGCTGTATGTACATTAATATAGGTTTGCACTTTAACTGGCTAGCTATTAGGTGGCTATATTTTTGTCTAATTTAAAGCTTGTTTTAAAATTTTATCTATGTATTTAAATAACAGGCACAGGAGGAAATTGCCCGACTTCGACGAGAAATGATGAAAAACTGTAAGTCTCCTAAATCAACAACAGCGCATGCTATTCTCCGGCGGGTGGAGACTGAGAGAGATGTAGCCTTCACTGATTTACGAAGAATGACCACAGAGAGAGACAGTCTGAGGGAAAGACTAAAGGTTTGCAGAAATTTTATCTATCTAAACGTATATGAGATACAAATGTAGTGACACTGAAAGTGCTCTATTTTATTTTTCTTTTTAAAACAGATTGCTCAAGAGACAGCTTTTAATGAGAAGGCCCATTTGGAACAAAGAATAGAAGAGCTGGAGTGTACAGTTCATAATGTAAAAAAATCAATCTAGGCTATAAGAGCCTTTCAGTGACCTTTCCTTTTCCCTGTTTTCTATATTCAGAGAAGTTCTTTTATTTTTATAAGATAGTGTTTCTTGTCCTAAAATACTTAAGGTGGTATATATGGTATAAATCATCACTGTTTTACTTGTTTATTTCTTTCTAAAAATATGAGCAAATTGTTTTGTGTGTTTGGTTGCAAAATGTGTTCTTTTAAAAAAAATTATCAGGATTCACTCACAGGAATTTTAACAACTTTCTCCTCTCTCTGTTTTGTTAAAAATAATATTGCCAGGGCTGAGGATTTAGCTCCATGGCACCACACCTCCCTTGGAAGCGCAAGGTCCTGAGTTCGATCCCTGGTACCAAATAATAATAATAATAATAATAATAATAATGCCAACTATGAAGATGCTATGGATCTATATTTGAGATGTTATGGATATATAAACAGGATTAAATGGATTAACTTTTTTCATCAAGTTTAGTTAAAAGTTTTTATAAATTTATCTGTAGTATTTTAAGTAGAAAACACTAGACAAGAGAAATAGAATTTTTATTTTCACAATCCCACTTACCTACCCGTAATCCCATTTGTAATTTATTAATGGTGGATAACAGATAAATTCTTTTGCAATTTGAATACGTAGGCTGTAGTCAAATTGAACTAGATTGAAAACTGTAAGCCAGTGTACTGTTATAGACTTTCGGAAGAGCTGTGCAGTGGCTAGTTTTTGTTCCTTCCAGAGACATAGTACTTTATCCATAATGCCTCCCATAGCTCTCAGGTCTGACCTGATCATCTCATGTAAATTTTTCCATAAACCACAGTTGGAATGGAGGGAGGATGTCTCTGCAGAAAGACTCCTGAGGCTTCGTTAGTGATGGCTGTAACCTTGTTGTTCTACTTGTATAGCTTGATGACGAACGGATGGAACAAATGTCAAATATGACTTTGATGAAGGAAACCATAACCACTGTGGAAAAAGAAATGAAATCACTAGCAAGAAAGGCAATGGATACTGAGAGTGAACTTGGCAGACAAAAAGCAGAGAATAATTCTTTGAGGTAAACAAAATAACTGTTAAAACAGTTTACTGTTACTGATAGCTCTGCCTTTTGTAATATATTTTATAATGAACATTAAGTTATTTATTGAATTTAATTTCTGAAAGGATTATTATAAATTAGTTTTAGAAACTTCAGGACACGTTTGAACAGTTTTCCCAAGATCAATCACAGACTAGTAATGGTGCACTGAACTAGAAAGCATATTTCTAGTAATCTTGACTGTACATTTGCAGACTTCTTCAGGTTTACCTTAAATAGCTTTTACAGGGCCCTTATGGGTACTGAGCATATTTCACTTTCACTTTACTTTTTTTTGGTACTGGGGATCGAACTCAGGACCTTGCACTTGCGGGGCAGGCAGCGGAACCACTGAGCTAAATCCCTGGCCCTTAATTTACTTTTATAACCTTAAATTCTGTTCTGGGATGTTAACGATACAAGGAAGCAGAGGTCTGACAATAGCTTAGAGAAAAGGTACTTTAGGGCATAATTAAAAGTCAGCAGAGAAATAGGAACATGTAATGGAATTTCTCTTAATTGAATGCTAAGTATGTTGCTTAACTCTTCCTACATACTAGTATGGAAGCAGAATAAATATCAATTAAAACAGCCTGTAGGCACTATATATATGAGAATACATTTTCGAACAATTTCTATGTTTGTCATTTAACTTTTAGGATCTGTTGATGTGAGTAATCTATAAATTCAGTAAGGTTGAATTTTAATAGATAAGTGAACATTTGAAAAATAGCATTCATATTGTTTTTGTGGTATTGGAGATTGAACCCAGAATCTCATGCTGATTCACATTCCCAGTCCTTTTAAATTTTTTATTTTGAGTCAGGGTCTCACTAAATTGTCCAGGCTGGGTTCAAACTTAAATCCTCCTTCCTCAGCCTCCCAGAGTACTGGGATTACAGGCATGCACCATCATGTGTTTCTGAAAAATAGTAGTTCATCTGAGTGAAATCTGTTACTGTGTCTACAGATAATATTTGGTCCCTGTACAAATTCTCAGTTTCTCCTTGATCATGCTGCACAGGTTGTAATCATTTGTCAGGATGGATAATTACTTAAATTCTTTCCCTTCACTTTAAAAATTTTTTACTGCTTATAAGAATATTGGAAGATTAGGTGAAATGAAGGTAATAATAAAGCAAGACAAGAGTAACCAAAAAAAACCTTTGAAAATTGAGAAAATCATGAAGAAAATTTAGATCATTCTTAATTCCAATTCCCAGAGGAAAATAATAATATAGAACTTTCTGACCAGAAATTTGTCTATCTGTATATATTATGTAAGTTTTTATTGGTTGAGATTGACCTGTATAATTTTATACTTGGTCAGTTTCATTTAATTATATACCATAAACATTTTCTCATGTTACCAAAAGTTCTTTGAAAGCATTTTTTAGAATAATATTCTAGCAGAGATATATAATAGTTTTAGAGATTTTTGATGTATATGTTTCATTTACATGTAATCAGCATATAGTACAGTATGAAAACTTTAAATGTATGTAATAATACAGCATGAATTATTTTGAGATGTATTCATGTTGTTATATATATTTAATCATTCTTTGTAATTACTGAGTAGTATTCTGTTGTATGGATATAGAAATAGACATTAAGTTGTTTCCAATTTGTGGCTGTGACAAATAAACCCGCTAAGAACTTTCCTATGTAAGTCGTTTTGTGGACCTATGCTTTTATTTCTCTTGGAGTGGTACATAGGAATAAAATGGATAAATTATATGATGATATATATTTCACTTTTGAATAAACCGTTAAACTTTCTGTCTCCCTTTCTCCTCCTTCCCCTTCTTCCTCTTCCTTTCTCTCTCTCTCCCTCTCCTTCTCCTGCCTTCTAGTGGTTGTCCTAAAGTGCCTGTTCTATTTTATTTTGCATTTGTACCAGCAGTGTATGAGTGTTTCAGTAGTTATATATCCTCACCAACATTTGGTATGCAGTATCTTAGCTTTACCTTTTCTAATATATATATATTATGCTTTTAATTTATTCTTTCCTAATGATTAATGATTTTGAGCATCTGTTCATACACTTATTCGCCTTTTGTGCATCTTTTGTGAGATGTCTCCTCAAATCTTTTATATTATTGAGTTTATATTAATAAAATGGTAAGTGTCCATATTTTATGTATAAGATCTTTGTCAGGTGTATGTTTTGCAAAGATTTTCTCCCATTCTGTGGCTTGCCTTTGTATTATCTTAAGAGTATCTTTTTAAAAAAGCAAGTGTTTTTAGTTCAAGTGAAATTTATTGAATTCAGTAAATTTATATTTAGTGTTTTATTTTCTTCTAAAGAAATCTTTGTAAAACCTAAGGTAATTAAGATTTTCTCCCATGATTTCTCTTAGCAGTTTTGTAGTTTTAGCTCTTATATTTAGATCTGTAATACATTTCAAGTTAATTTTTATGTATGATATGTAAATGAAAGTTTACCTTTTTTGCATAAGGATGTTTAATTTTTCCAGTATCATTTGTTGAAAATACTTTTCTTTCTTCACTGAATTGCCTTGTACTTGTATAGGTCAGTTGTCCATATGTCTTCCCTCCCTCCTTCCCTCCTCCCTTCCCTTCTTTCCTTTGTTCCTTCCTTATTGTGGTAAAAAAAAAATAACAGGAAATATACTTCTTAAATCTTTAAATGTATTGCATAATACTAACTATATAGCAGATCTCTAGAACCTTTGCTTTTTGTACACCCAAGCGATCTACATCCATTGAAAATGGATGCTTCCCCCTCCCCCAGCTCCTGGCAACAACCATTCAACTTTCTCTTTTTGAGTTCATGTCTTATACATGGTATATTATACAGTATTTGTCTTTCTGTGACTATCTTATTTCACCTATCACACAAGTGATGTTCTTAAGGTTCAGTCTGACAAAATTTCAGACTGATAATATTCCATTAAATTATACACCACATTTCTTTATTCATCTGTTGAAGGACATTTAGATTCTTTTAATCTCTTGGATACTGTGAATAATGCTGCTGTGAGCATGGGAATACAGATAATGTCTTTGAGGTCCTGATGTCCATTCTTTTAGGTAAATACCCAGAAATGGGAATGTTGATTCATATAGTAGTTCTGTTTTAATTTTTGAAAGATTTTCAACATTATTGAGATATAATTATTGAATTAAAATTGTATATGTTTAAGGCATACAATGTAATGTTTTGATGTACACATATTGTGAAATGATTAATAAGCTTAATTTATATATCCATTGTCTCACATAGTTCCTTTAACTATTGTAGTGAGAGTATTAAAATCTCCTATTAGAAAAGTTTAAGCATATGGCATATTATTATTAACTATAGTCACCTCACTGTACGTTAGATATTCAGAACTTTTTCATCCTAGAACTGTAAGTTTTTATCCTTTAGCCAACATCTCCCCATTTCTTCTACAACCTCAGCTGTTGGTAACCACCTTTCTACTCTGTTTCTGAGTTTGACTTTTAAAAGATTCCCCGTATAAGTGATATCATGTAGTATTTGTCTGTGTTTGGCTTATTTCACTTAGTATAATGTCGTCCAGTCTCATCCATGTTGTTATACATGGCAGGGATTTCTCCATATTTATGGCTGACTTATATTCCATTGCATATGATATATTACAGTTTTTTAATCCATTCATCCACTGATGGACACTTAGGTTGTTTGTGTATCTTGCCTCTTTTGAATAATGCTGCAATGAACATGGGAGTGCAGATTTCCCTTTGAGGTAATGATTTTATTTATTTTATATGTATATATATGAAATTGGTAGATCACGTGGTAGTTGTATTTTCAGTCCTTTGAGGCACCACCCTAAGTTGTCCATAGTGGCTATTCCAGTTTACATTCCCATCAACAGTGTGAGGGTTTCCTTTTTCTCCACATCCTTCTTAGAACTTGTCTTTTGATACTAGCCATCCTCATGGTGTGAAGTGGTATCTCATTTTGTTTTTGATTTGCATTTTTCTGATACTTAGTAATGTTGAGTACCTTTTCATATGTCTTCCTTGGAAAAATGGCTGTTTACATCTTTGCTTATTTTTTGAGTAGTTTGTTTTGCTGTTACTGATTTTGTATCCTGCTACTTTGCTGAAATTGTTTATCAGATCTAAAAGTTTTCTAGTGGAATTTTTATGTACAAATAAGGATAATTTGACTTCTTTTTACCCTATTCATATCTCTTTTATTTATTTGTCTTGCTTGATTGTTCTGGCTAAAATTACAAGTACCATGTTGAATGATAGTGGTAAGAGTGAATATCCTTGTCTTTTTCCTGATTTTGGAGGGAATGTTTTCAGTTTTTCTCCATTTAGTATGATATTGTAGTTTACTGTTATTGCATAGACACACAATTGATTTAGCTGAGTGTGGTAGCCACACCTGTAATCCTGCCACTCAGGAGGCTGAGGCTGGAGGTTTCCTATGAGTTCGAGGTGAGTCTGGCTACATAGTGACTTCAAGGCCAGCCTGAACTACATAGCGATACTCTGCCTCAGTCCCCCCCCCCCAGATAAAACCCAATAGATTTTATATTTTGATTTTGATCCTGCAACTTTACATGAATTTATTAATTATAAATTTTTTTGGTGAAACTTTTTTTCTATACCATGTCATTCTAAATAGTAAGATGATGTCATTTCTGAACAGAGACAACTGTACTAATTCCTTTCTGAATTGACTACCTTTCATTTTTTGTTGTTTAATTCTCTAGCGGGGACTGCCAGAGTTGTAATGAATTGAAATGGCAATGGCAATAGTCCTTGTTTTGTACCTAATTTTAGAGGGAAAGTTTTCAGTGTCCATTATTGAGTGTGTTAGCTGTGGACCTGTGATATATATATGGCATTTAATTTTGCTTTGACTTTTGTTATTTCCTTTCTTTTACCATCGTTGGGCTTAGATTTTTTTTAAACTTCCTTGAGGTGTAAAGTTAGGCTGTTTATTTGAAATCTTTTTCCTTTTTGAATGT